ACTATGTTTCAATTTCTAAATGTAAACAAAGAAGTAGGGGAGGCGTGGGGTAAGTTGAGCCACGGGGTAAGTTGAGCCACTCCCTCTTAATGCCTTCTGGGAAGAGGTATAACTTAGAATGTCCACTTGTTAAGACAATGTAAGAGTTACTTCCCTTTAATGTCAATGTCAAAGAATTTAGAGGCTTAATAACAACTTTGAGTGTTTTTCACCAAGAAAAGTAAAATATTCGTTTTAAGGTATGTACTTTAATTCCCTCAATACTATTCCATATTTCTGATATCTTCTTGCACTGTGCGATAGTTTGAAATGTTGGCTTTGATCACGCAATCTTATATTAATGTAGAAAACCATGTGCTTGTTGCCCTGCCATGTTGAATTTTAATAATCAGATTGGGGTAAGTTGAGCCAGTAAAGATGGGGTATGTTGAGCCACGATCAACTTGCCCCATATGTGGCTCATCTTACCCCAATATCATCAACACATGTTCATAATTACATCAACACATACTGACTATTATTTATATTGATAAATTATCCTGGTGCAACTCCTCTTGATGTTATGAAAAAAGCTGCCAAAGAAATTTAGTTGTGATTTGTCGAAATTTAATTTGATATATTGATATTTTGATTATTGATAATTGTATGTGGGCTATTATGAAAATCGTTTTTTATTTAAAGGGGAATAATGTTCAGTATTTTCGATGGACTTCAGGACTTGAATATACATAAATAGCTTCCTGAAGTACTAGAAATGCACGAAAATCATATAATTCCTCCAGTTTAATCCCTACCTTAATATTTATCCTTCTGAGACTAAAATTTTTTGGTCGAAAAGTTAGTGAACATATCCCTTTAATAACCAAAAAGATTTTATGATACATTAATAAATTGACTTGCACATTTTTTTTTTGTGTTTTGTACATCTGCCATGGAATTGGCAGCTCTTCAAATTTACTGATCAACTTACCCCGCCGATTGGATCAACTATCAACTCTGAACACTCTTAGTTTTGACTGTATAGTTTAAATCATAATGAATATTTTAGAATAATAGTGGGTAATAATTAGGCGCAAAGACTATATCTATCAAATTCACTCAGGATTTTCATTGTCTTTAAAAAAACTTGAGCTTTTTCTCTCAAATGTGGCTCAACTTACCCCGCTCTCCCCTACTGTTAGTTAATAATTGAGTGGATGATGAATAAACACAGGGATTATTGGGTTGGTAGTTAAAGTGTATGGAAAGTCAATTATGGGCCGCTTGACACCTACCGTGAATGTTTCTATATATCCTATTGTATCCAATTCCAATCTTACACTCGATAATAAAGATACATGTATAAGTAAAACAAAGACAATTTGTGTTTAATTCCCGTTCGTTTACAAAGACAGTCCGCCTTTACGTCGTATTAATCACATGACCACATGACGTCATTTTTGGAACCATCGTTAACCTCATAACCTTGATAGGCTACGTTAATGTTTACAATATTTACATCAAAATGCCGAAACTCGGTGTCGCGCAATTTTGCAGCTATACCTGTAAAGAAAACAGTTAATACGGCTTTCCAAAAGACGCTGGTTTGGGTCAAATTCGTACAATTGAAAAGAACCGACTTCAAGGCGCCGACTGAAAACTCTCAGTCTGTTATTTATTTCACTTCAAAACTCTTTATTTTTATAGAAAATATTCTAAATTGGAAAGATGACATAGCCAGAAAAGTGTTTTAAAAATCGATTCGCATATGAGACCCCATTAGAAATATATTATTATTTTTAATTAATACTAAAAAAAATCGGCATTTAAACTTAGCCAAAAAGATGAAATATCAATTTTCCAGCATAAAATGGTGGTCATGGCGGCCATTTTGGAACACCTTTGAAGCATAACAAAAGCGAAAAATGAAGTTGATTTCATGAAATTTCAGTTTATATCAAACACTAAACTCATAAATGATTTAAAACTATCATTTCTTAATTTAAAGTATATTTTGAGCGGATAATTTCATATTATTTCAATTATTTGATCAGAAGGTCTACTTTCACTTTATTATTAATTGGTAGGCCTATCCGATGTGTGTGTTTTACCAATTAAGACTTGGGAATGTAGGAACTCAAGATGTTATGAAATTACCTATTGTCTTTAAAATAAATTATGATTAAGTTACATGTATTATAAAATAGTTTTAATCTTATAATGACTTGTTCCATATATCACTTATAAAATGAGTGAAGAATTCATACAAATAACGACCATATTTCTCCACTATTTACCCCATTCATCATGGAATATCTCAAAGACTAATCAAGATATTTTAATTCTGTAAAGTTTTTCATCGAGAGGAGTTATGAATATTTTGAAGTAGGCGATTTTTAATACAAAATGAACGCTACAAACCAGTCATTAGAAATTTATTTCCCAAACGATCTCCATTTTCATGAATTTCGGCAGTGTCATCGTCCTGGTTTGACCTTTCACTGTCAGTCACCCCATCCCGAGGACGCCTAACTGGCTCGAACTGGTAGCCCACCACATCCCCAAACATTTCGTATTCATCTTCTTCGTCTTCAGAATGAGAAGAACTGTGAGTGCTTGACGAATCCTTTTCATTATAATACATAACGCCCGCCACATTGTTTATCTGTCAGTGTAGCGTTCCCAGAAACCACCACGTCAAGTCCATAATTTACGTCATGCATACATTAGCGTACATTCGGATATTTCCGGAACGTGCTCGTGGTTTTCCGTACAAATCATCGATTTTCCATCAAAGTATCACTTTTTCACCCTCACGAATTTTTTTTCCGCGAAAAGGATAGTGGCATTCAATCCAATCATTAATTATTTAACAAATACAAAAGTACACCATATTAATACTTTGCATACTCTTTAAGTTATTGTAATACCAAGCAGTGATTGAAGGTCTTGTATTTCATTTGACATTAAATTTTGCATTTGACAGACATTGATGTTAATGGCTAACCTATACTTGACGTCCTATCGAGGATATTGACTGTTGGTCATTTGAGCTGCCCAGTCAGTCATGACCGCCATATAGAGACAAATCAACAGCCCTGATGTTTACATTTGCATTTATTTATCAAAGACATACCAAATAGTATACCAATGAAAGTAATTTCTGACTAGCTTTATTATGATGAAGTTAAAACTATACTGAATTTAGTAACCTTGGGGCATAGTTTTTTTTGAAAATGTCTTTACTTAAAAAATAGGCCTATAACCTATAACTGAACTTGTTCAGGGTGGGTCTTTCTTTTTTCATTTGGTTGATGTCCTGATCTCATTGCTAGAGGTTTGGTCTTCTTTAACTTTTCCATTCACCTGAAATATTTGGTAGCATGTGATGTACCGTACATATTATGAGTGATAATATGAATGATTAAAAAAAATTAAAACTGATATAACTTGCAACCTAATCATTAAAAGATAGACATAAATGTTTTTCATGCATGAACTATTTTACTAACAATCAACAAAACACTTTTAATTTTTCTTACAACCAAACTGAGCATAAGTTTGAAATTATTATGATCAGTTGTCTCCCTTGAACTAGCTTTCTTACTTTTAACATACAAGTCCCAAACAATTATACTAAGGACCGTATGCAGCGCTTTTACCTTGACTAAAGTTGAACTTTGGCTAAAACAAAGTTAGGATTAAGGCTTTCATTTTCTACATTTGATAGTCAAATTTAAGCACGACTGTCGTAAAGATCGACCGGTGCATACTTCGACTTAAGTCTAACAGTCAAAGTTTAGGTAAAGTGCTAGCGCTGCATATGGCCCTAAACATTTGGTGACTGCTTACAAAAGGAATGAAAATCTGAGTAATGTTCTAGTACACAGTAGATTAGATCCCTTTTCATTAACTCCCTGAAACAATCGCTTTGCATTTCTGAATTTCTGATAGGTAATTTTCTATCAAATTGATGTATTCCAATGCTGAAATTCACAGTCCCTACTTGTGACCTAGGCCAGTGCTTCTATAAGAGAGTAAAAACCTTATACAAGTCATTGTCAGTGTCAAGCATTCAGTTATGAACACTGTTTTTCAAGCCCAAAAATCCTGATTCATGGTTGAACATTGTGGAATGTTATCCCTAAGGATCTGGAAATTCATTGAGGTGCTGCATGTTTTTGTCAAGATGACATCACTTTAGCTAGAATTCAAAGCAAGCTGTGATAATCTGTATATTGTGTTGTCAACTGTGTGATGTCATGATAGATGGTTTAACCCTTAGAACCCGAGCGGCCGGTATACCGGCCACGACGTCATGATGTCAAATAACCGAGCGGCCGGTATACCGGCCGCGCTGTTCATACACACTTACCTTTGTATTATTTATAGCTCATTCAACTTGCTTCGCTTTTCTGTTTAGATCAATTTTATAATTCCCGGTATTAATTACTCGGTTGCCTTTTTAAACAATATTTCGAACAATAAACATGAAAGTATGAATATACAAGCTGACCATGATTCAGAACCTGTTTCACGCGTATATTGAAATTTGGAAGTTTGAGAGCTATGCCTTATTCATGTTTGAAGTTTTTTATTGATCGTATACCCAGAGATATCCAACTGTATGAATATAAACTTACACAGTTGTTATTTATTAGCTTTTCTGATAGACGCTTACGTCAGCCAATCACCTAATTTGTTGTTATCAATTGTAACCACCCTTTTCTAAATATAGCAATGAGATTCATGTAGAAATTCTCAATTATTTCAGAAATAAACGCTTCTCATATTATTTGTTTATGCTAAATTTCTTTGAATTTTATCTTTGACTAGGAATTTCACCAAAACTTACCCATGACATTTTGTCTTGAAAGACTTTTTTCCTAAAATCATTGTCCGAAAACGTCCAATCTAATTAGGGCACGAGCGATCTATTTGACCAATCAAAACAATGTTACTAAAAAAATCTCTGCAGACGACACAAACAAACTATCGTTTTACCATAATAATGTCAATATATGGCCAGAAAACATTTTTCAGCGGATGAAGTATTGGCACAAATAGTAGATTCTGACAACGAGAGTATCGGTGCTGTCAACTATGGAAATGAAAGTGAATATGATTCCAGTGATCTGAACAGCGACGGCAATAATAATGATGCCATTGACAATAATGATGATATTGCGGAACCTACTTTGCCTCGGTATTCCCGTTGCAAAGTAAATACAAGAAATAATAAGAACAATAACTCTAAAACCAACCATAGATCCAAAATCGCAAAAATCTTCAAAAGTATGGGTCCCTAATCCACCCACAAACGGCTGGACACTAGATGTAGAAAATACCACTGAGAGGGAATTTTCGCCTACTGAAACTCCAGGCCCTAGAAATATTCCATATTTCAGATGAGAGTAGTCCCCTTGATTTCTTTTCTCTGCTATGGGATGAAGGTCTTTGGACTATGTTTTTCGACCAAACCAAAACTCAGATTGACAGAGTTATCAGTAAGAAACCATCAGGGTCTGTGGCCAAGGCCTTCAAAACTCGACCCTTGAATAAAGATGAGTTGAAATCTTTCTTTGGTCTCTGGGTTGCAATGGAGATGCTCGTATACAAAGACAGGTACGAGCACTATTGGAAACTGAAAGATAGCTGGATTTGTCTTACACCTGGGTTTTCACAAACCATGTCCAGAGACAGATTTTTAGCCATATGGTCTACCCTACACTGTGTTGACGAAGACGATCCCCATGTCGATAAAACTGATAAAATATATAAAGCTCGACCTGCATTTGATTACATTTTAACCAAGTTCAAACATTTTTATGTTCCGGATTGTGAAATGTCTCTTGACGAAGGAATGATTCCAACTAAAAACAAACTTTCCTTCAAACAATACATAAAGGACAAACCAATTAAATGGGGTATCAAGACCTACTTATTGTGTGACAGCAAAAATGGCTACATATGCAATGCTGAAGTTTATACCGGACGAAGAGAAGACGCAATACAAATTGACAATCTGGGTGTTACTGGAAATCTAGTCGCAAGACTTACAGAAGAATATTCTGGACAGAACTATTCTGTTTACACAGACCGCTTGTACACAACCGTCCAACCGGCAGAATATCTGTTGACAAAAGATATCCGGATTTGTGGCACTGCAATGACCAACAGAATCCAGTTTCCAAAGTCACTGGTTGGAAAACACACGCAGATGTTGAAGGGCCAGTATGATGTTATTTTCAATGGATCTGTCGCTGCTATTGTTTGGAAAGATAAACGTCCCATCTACTTCATAACGACCGTGTATATATCTTCTCCTGATGAGCATGTTTTGCGATATGATCCGTCGGAACACAGGAGGATTCCAGTATGGGCACCAAAGGCCGTAAAAGCTTATAATGACTTTATGGGTGGTACTGACAAGAACGACCAGATGACAAGACTTCAAAAATGCCGTCGACATTATAAATGGCCACGCCGTCTGATGATGCTGCATACAATTCTTATATTTTGATGGGATATACTCGCCAACATATTACTACTGGTCACAGAACAGTTACTTTTCATTCTTTTATTGAGAGATTGTGTGAAGAGTTAGTAGGTGATATACAAAATGTAAATTCCTCCTTTGGAAGACGAGGTTCTGATGAAACATCCGAAAAGCGCCTAAATCGCGATGCACATCATGATTGTGAGCGACCTGCCCATGCCACAACTAATCAAAGATGTTGAGTTTGCAGGGAAAAATACCTAAGAGCCAAATCAACCAATCCACAAGCCAACGCCAGTCAATTACCAAAACGTCACAAAATCACAATTTGGTGTAGATATTGTGAAGAGTTTCTTTGCGTTGGCAAAGTAGGAGGCAACTGCTGGTATGATTGGCACCACAGGGTCCAATACTTGAGATAGATGGCATTTAAAACGCATGTGTTGACCATGTTACAGAACATTCTTTTGTGATCATTTCATACATTTTTGCGTGAAGACATTATCTGTGATATTCTTTAAAATAATACTGTAAATAAAATTGCTTGCTTTTTGTCTGTGATATAAATAATAGGATGTGTTATTCTTTTATCTGTTTTATCATTGTTAGCTTTTTTCATATATGCACAATTAATGAAACTTTAACGTTTGTTTGATGGGAATTTATTGAAAATACTATTTTACTCTCAATTGTGTTTTTATGACGTTATGCCTGGGGAGGCCAGGGTATGATGACGTTACAGCACTGGGGAGTTAGTGTTCAAAGGGTTAATATCTCAACAAGTCTGCACCATTTTGGGTTCAAAGAGTTAAGAATATTGTTGTTGATAATGATGGCTTTTAGAGAAAGTAACAAGTCATGTTGTAGTTCTCAGCCTTCACACCCCTGGAGCAATCACCTAAACCTTTCACACCCCCAAAAATTTGTTTCATCCACATTTCCAGCATGTGATGATGTGAGGTGCCCTCTCAATTCAAAATAAATTCTTCTCTTACACCAGTTGGCTGACACCCTAATCCCACACCCACAAGGGGTGAAAACACCCCAGGTTGGGAACTAGGGGTTTAAAGGCACATTAGGTTATAATTTCAAGTCATAGAATTTTGTTTACTATATATTATATTATATCTGAACCCTCTCATAGTTTCTATACATTTACCTTGTGACCGAACAACCATTTCACTTTAACAACTGCTGTATTAACTAATACATGACATGACTTTTGCATTTACAATGTATTTTGGATTATGGACATCCAACTCTTCACATCTGGAGGTACGTATGTAAAATTATTGCATGTTGGTTCATCAACATTGGTAGTCCAATCAAAATCCAGTTCTCATAATCAAATATCTGCTTGAACACTAAAAAAGGACTTAAATTTACTTTAGTACACAAATCTAGCTGTTTGTGACCTTATATCGTTTAGATGGTTTCACCTGAAACTTTTAAAAAAGATGGCTTGCAGACGTAAGAACTTTACACTTAACGCCAAAACTACTGGTTGAAAAAATATGACAGCTCTTTTAATCAGATGATTTAGATTAAATGCCAACACAGAGAGAGTCAGTATATCTACAGTTAAAGGGATTTTAGAGAGGGTTTTCTAAACACTGATAGCATCAATCCGCACTGTACCAATTTTCAATCAAACGTTAATGGTTCCTGCAATTCAAGAATATGCGAGAACAGCTTAGACTCCTCCCACTTAGATTTTTAATCACCACAAAACACACAAAGTGACCTCGCTCCAATCTTACTGGATATCTGTAGTCTGCATTGTAGTGAATTCCACTAAAACTAAGTGTATGATGATGTCACTAATCGCAAAATATGCTTTATCACATAAGGCCTTTCATGATTAGTGCATCATCAAACACTGAGTTTTAGTGAAACTGCAGGAACCACAGACTTGTTATTAAAACTTGGAATGGAATTGATGCTATCTGTGTCCCCAAAACACATAAAAATTTTAGAAAACCTTTCACAATTCCTTTTATTTACAGTGCACACACATAATAACACATTTCTAGACTTTTGATCTGCTTGTTTGACATTTAGATGATAATAATTGAAATTTAATTGATCATTTATCCAACTTAAAAGACATGATAAAAGATTGGTTCATTAAATAACAAGTATGTTAAAAAAACATTGTTTATTGAACATTGACCTTATAATAATATTAAAGGTGGTTTCTGTCGCAATAGTTGGGTCATATACTTGTAATGAATAAATATTGTTAAGACAATAAGGATATTTGGTCTAGAATTAGATCTTCACTGAAAACATATTACTTAGTTAGAAAACAGTTAAACCTTCTCAGAAAAATACTTACCTGGTACAAAATCTCTAAAAAACATACCTAGGAAAGTATATTTGGGATAGAAGTAGGCCTAGACCTTTAAAATCATACTTAGTTAGGGGAAAGTTAAATCTTCACTGAAAAATACTTACCTGGTACAAAATCTCTAAAAAACATACCTAGGAAAGTATATTTGGGATAGAAGTAGGCCTAGACCTCTGAAAATATACTTAGTTAGGGGACAGTTAAACCTTCTCAGAAAAATACTTACCTGGTACAAAATCTCTAAAAACATACCTAGGAAAGTATATTTGGGATAGAAGTAGGCCTACCCTCTGAAAACATACTTAGTTAGGGGACAGTTAAACTTTTACTGAAAAATACTTACCCAGTACAAAACCTTTAAAAAACATACGTAGGAAAGTATATTTGGGATAGAAGTAGGCCTAGACCTCTGAAAATATACTTAGGGGAAAGTTAAATCTTCACTGAAAAATACTTAACCGGTACAAAACCTCTAAAAAACATACCTAGGAAAGTATATTTGGGATAGAAGTAGACCTACACCTCTGAAAACATACTTAGTTAGGGGACAGTTAAACCTTCACTGAAAAATACTTACCCGGTACAAAACCTCTAAAAAACATACGTAGGAAAGTATTTTGGGATAGAAGTAGGCCTACACCTCTGAAAACATACTTAGTTAGGAGACAGTTAAACCTTCACTGAAAAATACTTACCGGGTACAATCCCTTCTTAAAAACATACCTAAGAAAGTATATTTGGGATAGATGTGGGCCTAGACCTCTGAAAACATACTTAGTTAGGAGACAGTTAAACCTTCAATGAAAATACTTACTCGGTACGGTACAAAACCTCTAAAAAACATACCTAGGAAAATTATAGGCCTACTTGGGATAGAAGTAGTGTGAAAACACACTAAAAACTTTATGTAAATAGTGACTTGCTGAATTTATAAAGTTCAAGAGGCTAATTGCTGAATGAAAATACATTTTTCTCCATTTTAAATAGTTCAAGGGACATAACTGATGAAAATACATTTCTCCAGGAACTGACCACAATAACTTATATTATGATAAGAAAAAGGTTACAATATAATGTCTGAATCTATGTGAAAGCATTTAATGATGAAAAATGACATCAAGTGATCAGAAGATTAAGCATACCCTGCCTGGAACCATACCTGTCATTGCTGCTAAATACTGCATATATAAAATAGGGAGGTAAAACAGACTTATTTGGTGGCAACTTGTTTAAGATTAAACTAAAACAAATATTTTATATTTTCAATTAGTTCATTAGTTCTTTCTTTTTTTCGCAAGATGGAAAGCTTTTGTTCTAAAAGTGCTCGCTGTTGCCATTGAATTTCGAAATCATCTCTGATGATCTGAAAGCCATTCTAATGTTTTGTTGTGCACATGATGATGGAGTCAAATGAACTTGTTGAACTGAATGCTTTAATGTACATCAAGAAATCTCACTGAGCAAAGTCCTTTCTGAACAAGTGTTAGTAAAAGGCACATTTGAAAGCTTGGTAACATCTTATTCAGATGGGATGAAAAAAAAAATGACCTCCAGGAAGTTGAACAAAACTCAAGACCTATGTGGGTGTAAGTATCAAATACAAGATCATCATTGGAAAATTATCTTTATAATAAATACTTCTCTCTTTAAACAGAGGTTCTTCTATAAGCAGAGAATAGGCATCATTTGCCAACAATGAGAGTTTTTGTTGTAAACTTACCTAAAATTCATTACGGTTAATTTGTTAGAAGATGATTCTATAATTTGCCTGTAATATAATTGTCAATTATTCCCAACTCTCTTATAATAGATATGAATGCTTCTTCCCTACAATGAAAGTAAGTACATTTTAATGAGTCATTATGAACTGCCCAGTCCTTCTAAAAAAGAAATAATGTCATATCTATGATGATTAACTGCACCTGCAGCATAAAAAGAGGATTAAAATGATGACCCTGAAAGTAATCAATTGGGAGGACTGACCCTTTTTCTTCAAGTAAAATTTTAGGAAAATGTGAAGCATCATCAGACTTTTCACAACTATGTGGTGTTTAAACAACCCCATCGTCATGAATGAAATGGTGCTGGGGCTCAGATTTTGTACTCAGAAAATTTGAAGAGTTCTCTGCTGAACTGAAGAAGATTTTGCTGGGACCCCACCTTAATGACAGGGCTGGTGTTAAAACTATACTTGCTGTTCTTGTAAGTCGTGATGCTCCACACGCCTTCTCATTGAAAGATAAAGGGTTTGGGACACAAGATATACTTCTCTCAAACATTGAAAGACTCTAGTCAACTTCAGTAGCCATGTTAACAAAAATATGCATTTTACAAAAAAAAGTAGCTACTGTCAGATCAGGCATTAACAGACATTTGATGCCAGCTTTTAATAACATCTGACAAAAGTCAATTCTTCAAATTGATGGTTGGAAACTGGAATCACTGACTCCTGATCTGACATAGTAGAAATCTGATAGTTTACAATTTTGATATTGCCCTGTTATCAATAAATGAGGCAAATGGGTTTTTTACCTGATCCATAGCACCAATCAGATCTTAACCTGAACCACAGAATCAGTCAGATCTTAACCTGATCTATAGCATCAGTCAGATCTTAACCTGATCCATAGCACCAGTCAGATCTTAACCTGATCTATAGCATCAGTCAGATTTTAACCTGATCCATAGCACCAGTCAGATCTTAACCTGATCTATAGCATCAGTCAGATCTTAACCTGATCCATAGCACCAGTCAGATCTTAACCTGATCTATAGCATCAGTCAGATCTTAACCTGGTCCATAGAATCAGTCAGATCTTAACCTGATCTATAGCATCAGTCAGATTTTAACCTGATCCATAGCACCAGTCAGATCTTAACCTGATCTATAGCATCAGTCAGATCTTAACCTGGTCCATAGCATCAGTCAGATCTTAACCTGGTCCATAGCATCAGTCAGATCTTAACCTGATCTATAGCATCAGTCAGATTTTAACCTGATCCATAGCACCAATTAGATCTTAACCTGAACCACAGAATCAGTCAGATCTTAACCTGATCTATAGCATCAGTCAGATCTTAACCTGGTCCATAGCATCAGTCAGATCTTAACCTGATCTATAGCATCAGTCAGATTTTAACCTGATCCATAGCACCAGTCAGATCTTAACCTGATCTATAGCATCAGTCAGATCTTAACCTGGTCCATAGAATCAGTCAGATCTTAACCTGATCTATAGCATCAGTCAGATCTTAACCTGGTCCATAGCATCAGTCAGATCTTAACCTGATCTATAGCATCAGTCAGATCTTAACCTGATCCATAGCACCAGTCAGATCTTAACCTGTTCCATAGCATCAGTCAGATCTTAACCTGATCCATAGCATCAATCAGGTCTTTTTCTTAACCATACCATCAATTAGATCTTAACCTGATCTATAGCATCAGTCAGATCATAACCTGAATCATAGCATCAGTCAGATCATAACCTGAACCATAGCATCAGTCAGATCATAACCTGAATCATTGCATCAGTCAGATCATAACCTGAATCATAGCATCAGTCAGATCATAACCTGTACCATAGCATCAGTCAGATCTTAACCTGATCCATATCGTGCAAGCTCTGAACCAGGCTGTGTGCCATGTATTTTTTCCATTCCCAATTGTTGAAAGATCTTAATCTTACACTGTCTATTGCACACTGGGCCTTGATATAATGTCCAATCCAAAAGACTATAGAGTTTTTTTTATAATCGTTTTCTAAACTCCAAACTGAGGAGGGATTTATTATATTTCTTTTTTACAAAATTGCAGAAATATGTAGATTTTAACCCCTTTTACATTACAAAATTTATCCGTTTTTAGAACGGAACAGATGAATTTTGTGTAATGTAAAAGGTAACTGTTTAAGAACTCTTAAATGCGCATGACTCACAAGCGACCTTCACCTTTTCCCACGAAATTTTGTCATTATTCAGTTACATTTTTAATTACATCCAGATGTGTTCGATTACATCATGGTCACTACAAGGGTTAATTTTATCTTCTTCAAGAAGAGTTCCACAGATAACCCAGCAGAGAACGCTCATCATTTTCACTACAACTAGAACCATACTCAGACCACTTGAGTTTGAGTTTACTGTAATGTAAACAGGCTCATTTTATCACAGACTTGTCCAGACCGAGAATGGAATGCTTTATAGTTGAGTTTAGTTGGTCTGACAAGGACAGTTTGATTAAAATAAGTTCCAAATATTGCCACATTGAAAACTGAGTGAATTAAACGTAATCTTAAAAGTGAATGAATTACTGATATATCTTTTTCTGAAATATTTTTATCAATGGCTTCTCATCGCCTAATTGGTTAGAATTAGATGGAAGCAATGCAAAGGAAGTTATGTCTGGAACCATAGAAACTACAGATGAACAAAATCTGTTTTAAAATCACTTTAAACATTGTGTTATAAGTTGGTTTGGGTGGAATTTGGGATTCTGCGTTAAAAAGTTGTAGTGGTATATCCATTTAAGTTTTAATGTGTTTCTGTCATTTCAGACTGGGGTATCAATGGATCCTATTAATCCTATAAATCTAAAAGATGGCTTACCACTAGCAATGGACACGTTACGACCAGATTACAACTCCGATGACTCCAGAAGACCAAGTTGTGATGAATCAAACAGGTCCAGTTTAAGTTCATCTCGTAGGCCTAGTCAGTATGAAGAAGGAGAACATCTTAATGCAGATTTTGGTTCAGTAAGGTAAGGGCTTGCTTGGTTTATTTAGCATTCTCACACTTAACTTCGTTACATATAGCATATATAACAAATATATTTGTGTACGATTCAAACATACAAGCTATCCACTCAAATTGATTTCGAATTAAACTTTATTATCCAATCAAATTGTTGCATTTCTTAAAATCTGGATGTTATCCCAGTTTAAGTATTAACGGACCAAAATCATTATTTCAACAAAGCTGTAATTCTCACTTTTACAGACAAAGTTAAATTTTTTTTAAAAATCCATGTCTCATATTATTACTTTCAAAGTTCTTTTGCACCAAGGAAAATCTTGCAGGTCAACATCTGGTTATACCACAGTTTAACTGCTGAAGCTATGAAAGCCATGGGGAGCCGCGGTGGTTCAGTGAGTTAGTAGTTTGCTCGCTAACCTGAAGGTCCAGGGTTCGAACTCGGCTTAGGTCGAGATAATACCTTCGGATTTTTCAACCCGGTTTCCCCCCGTGTGCTACAGGCTGTTCACGTTAAAGATCCCTCGACAGTTGGAAATTGAAAAAGAGCAGGCTAATGCTGCTGTCCTGGCAAAATTTCCCTCATGGCACCCTGCATGGCGTTGCCCGTCTTCATTGGCCCACATGGTGCAGAAAAGTAGGACGTAAAACTTTATTCATTTCATTTTCATTTTTATGAAAGCCATGATTTAATCTAAACAAAACCAGCTAATTATTGTGGTCACATATGATATTTAATAGTGGATAATTTTTTGTAGTTATCTCCCTTTATTCCTAACAACAAACTCTACAGTTTGAAGACACAAATGTATTAAATTTTGATAGAACTAGCACCACATTTAAACATCTAGATCCAAGCTATCTATACATTTATTTATTTTGTTCAGTGTTGTGATGGTTCAGTGAATTTGATTCCATCATGATTCAACACAATTACATTATAGTATAGGTTGAGAAATTTCTTTCTGATTTTTAAACCTTATTTCCTACTGTCAGTGTCTGTGATAGGACAATAATGTAATGCGAAGAATTGCTGAAAGTTCCAGCCACATGACTTATTTGTTTAGTTCTTCCAATATCAATCTGTGTTGTTGTTGGATATCAATTTTGTTTTGTGGTTTGAACAAGTGAATAAACCTTTTTGTTGCCTTTTAACGTATTTCACATTGAGCCTTGACATTTAAGTAGATAATTAAAAGCAGACGCAGACCAAAGAATATTGCCCATTAAAAACAAAATTTTGTTTATATAGATACAGCTTTATGGAACAAAATCACTGTTAAAGTTTTATGCAACGTTTCGATGGTTTCCCCTTGTTGTCCTCAGGCACATGTCTTCAAATTTTCATAAGCCACACACGAAAAAACATTGTTCAAAAGAATCATTTCGTATGCTGCCTTATCACATGATTTTTGTGTCACGTGACCACAAGGTTCAAATTTAAATCTATTTCACATGATGAGATATATGTTGATTGGTTGAGAACAAAAACTGACAGACTCGAAACAATTGTCTGCAAAACAATTGTTCCAAATTCTAACAAATATTTCTCGAAAGAAAAACAATGTTTTTTTGCTAACAAACTCATGACTTAATCAATATGATTTTTTTCATGAAAAATCAAGTCTGTTGTTGGGCTTTAAGGCAAGAAATCGTGTTATTTAAAAATTATTTCTAAAAGGAAACAACCAAACATAAGACTGCTGTGTATAACATTATTACTGGTTTCAATAATTGTATGTCTCGCAGAGAAGTCTGATGTTTTTCTACATCATATGGATTCTTCTATTGCTAGAAATGACTGTGAGTTCAGCTAGTCTGGACCTGCTTCATTAGCCAATTGGGTGGGGTAAAGTAGCATTTTATTACTGCTAGTCGTTACCTACATTTGTTATATGCCCACATCTCACTATGTGGACGTATATTGTCGGCACCCCTGTCGGTCTGTCAGCTCTAAAAACTAAAAATTCGGTATGTGTATACATATTCATAAAACGAAGATCAAGTTTGAATTTGAGCTATTTTCGACTGTTAGAAACGGAGTAATTGCCCTTGCCCCAAAATCTTGAATATGCTATTACTCTCTTAGTTTTCAACCGATTTTGATGAAACTTAAAATGGATGTTTCGTTTTTACCATCGGCATGCAGTGGTGGGCGTATATGGCTGTGGTCCACTATCTTTCTCCTATTTCCTTCCTATCAAATGCAGATAATTCTGGACACACATTGATTTGAAGGCGCAAATTTTGATGGTGAGCTGTGAACACTATTACTGATTTGCTCAGCTAAAAGAATTCCTGTTTCTGAGACTAAACTATGATTGGTCAAAAAGAATAGCCTACCTGTCACTTTAGATTGACAGAATGACTAAGCCAGATGTGAATTAGGAATTGCCTTTTGTAAAACATGAATATGGAAATTAAGAAGGCAAAATAGTTTTAGATGTCTTGGTATGGTTAAGTTGATGTCAAACTATGATATAAATATGCTCGACATGTTGCTTTGTCAGAATATTTAAGTCACTTGAGACCAACAATTTCTACAGAGGCTTTTATCACTGTCTGAAATCAGCCTGTCTTAATCAATATGACTTAAACTCAAATTAGATATGACATTTCCATTTGGAAGCAGGATTTAGTTTTTATTTGTCGCTGTTGAATTTAGATAAAACTAATCAGATCTTATTTTTAACGCTTACTCTCCAAGATGTTCCACGAAAAATGTCGTGTAGCTTTCATCGACATCTGAAGAAAAAAAGTCATGTAGATTTCTAATGATCTGTTTTTTAATTAAGGAAATGGCAAATGAATGTAACTTCGTCTGAGAAGTTCAATTGTTTATCCATTTCTTTAAAGATTATCATAGCTAGACTCTAAAATGTCACTAGTCTAATACTTGTGGGATTTCACTGTCAATAAAATTTACACCTTTATGTTCTTCTGTGAACTTTGTGGATTCTATCTAAAGTTTTATCATGTTCAGTTCATGTTCCATGAGACAGTTCAGAGCTAAACTGGTTGAGTAAGTCTACTGACTTGGAGGGTTGATATTTGCAATGAATGGTATCTATGTATTTTTTCCCCAATTGACCACTGTCAGTTCAACTTGTAATTTTAAGTCTGTATTGAGAAATTTATTTTATTGAAATAAATGTTCCATTTTCAACATTGGATTTTGAATTATTGAGTTGATGTTTGGATATTAGTTTTATTTTGAGTTGATATTTGGATGTTAGTTTTATTATGAGTTGATATTTGGATGTTAGTTTGAGTTGATATTTGGATGTTAGTTTTATTTTGAGTTGATATTTGGATGTTAGTTTTATTTTGAGTTGATATTTGGAGGTTAGTTTTTGAGTTGATATTTGGAGGTTAGTTTTATTTTGAGTTGATATTTGGAGGTTAGTTTTATTTTGAGTTGATATTTGGATTTTGAATTATTGAGTTGATGTTTGGATATTAGTTTTATTTTGAGTTGATATTTGGATGTTAGTTTTATTATGAGTTGATATTTGGATGTTAGTTTGAGTTGATATTTGGATGTTAGTTTTATTTTGAGTTGATATTTGGATGTTAGTTTTATTTTGAGTGGAGTGTTTGGTTGAAATCTGTCTTGGCAAGAAATGAAATGAAATGAAGGGGCCAGCATCGAAATTGAAATGAATATAAATGATAAAAAACGGTACACAACAGAAAGTAAAATCTGGTGGGCCTTATTTCATTTCATTTCATTTCATTTCTTGCCAAGCTCACTGTTGAAATTTGAGCCTTCAAATTCATGTGTGTCCAGACTTGAATGTTAGTGCAGAAAAGTAGGACGTAAAACTCCATTCATTTCATTTCATTTCGATTGAATGTTAAAATGACAAGTCGCTAATTTAAGGTACTCTGTGTTCTATTGAAAAGACATATATAGAAATAGTGAGTAAAATTATTAGTTTTAAGAACTACATAGTTTTCATACATTTCTAGTACTTCTGAGACTAATTACATATATTCAAGATTAAGATCAACACCCTAAAACAGCGCATCTGTCCCTTTAAGGATCTGTCCTTTTTTTTTTTTTTTAATTAAATGATTTTTAACCCTTTTTTTTTACAATTTAAGGCATCACGTTTTCCTTCAACATGGTATTGTATCATTCTTCAAATAAAGTTAAGCAGTAATGAAACTTAATTTTGAAAATTGGCTTATATGGTTTAGTTTGTTTGTGTCAAATCCAGACAGACTTGACATCAACATTGAAATTCTAATGAATCTTCTATTAAGAAGAATTATCTGACATTTTTACTAAAAGTTTGATAGATATGTCTCTATATAATAACAGAAATACTTTAATTACCCTATATTCTATTCTAGTTGTTACCAGTTTGGATATTGTAATCGAAAGGCATCGCCGAGTGAGAAAATTACGTATTCATAGCTTATTATTGTCCAATCAAAATTGGTCTACTATATTGGTAGCAAATTTCAGCAAATCAAAACAAATCACTCGTTTGCAACATGCCATTATATATTTTGATGAATATGTAGCCTGCGGTACAGAATTGAGTGAGAAGCCGAGAGAAAATAAAACCTTACTTTGGAATATTTACTTGGAAAGAATGTGTTCTTATCTCTTCAACGGGCGGTGTTGTGTTTTGTTTACATGACCTCATTTATGTTCTAACCGATCTGATTGGTCTGATTTCAATGCCACCAGCTTAATTTCCGCGCCCCCATAACGAAGTGATGTGGGCTTAGTTTAATATGAGTTAATAAGACCATGTCTAAACCCATATTTGATGCTTACAAGGATGGGTAATGAATTCACTTTGGTTTACGTTCTACCGCGGATATTGGGGCATCAAAAAGTTACAGTGGACTACAAGGGCCTCTACTGGCTAAATCACACAATTTCATATTATATTCATACAGATAATGCTGACTATCTTAAACAACAATTAGTTTTATTTGAAAGATACTATAGTGACATTTACATGGTTTTAGCTTGTGGTAGGTTTCTCATTGATGTACCAGGGAGTTGGGGGGGGGGGGAGATGTACAGATGTCCTTGGGAAACGTACGTTATTCATGAATTGAGAATAATTTTTGGCATTTTCTGTAGCAAGGGAAGGTGGGATGTGAGGTGTACGTGAGGGAGGGGTACCTACATCATTCCTTAATTTAGAATAAGCTTACACATTTTTTAAGCTTTTTTCGAATAGTTAGGTTTGCATTTAATGTAACTATTTGTAATATGAATCTTTTAAGGACTGTGGAAGATTTCAAACTTTTTTTCAGTGTTCGAAACACTCATGATTACGTCAGCCTTAAGTATAGTTAACTTAACCAAAGTGAAAAAAATGCTAATGGCTCTTTGCCATGGTTAATTTGTCCGCCATGATAGTTTTAGCACAAGTGAAATAAGGCAAAGAAGGATTAATGAGATAACAAAGTAATGGAGTCAGTACCGTCTGAGGTGGTTTGACTAGCGGCTATTTACCAGGGCTGTATTATCACTATATATATTAAAGACAGATAATTGCCTATTGAACGTTATTAGTGGTATTATTAACCCATGTCAAGTTTATTTTTCTTTCTTCAACCTTTCAGCTTAAAGTCAATGTGCAAGAGTGCTGGAACAAACAGCAAGACAATCCTTTTTCCCATTGAAGAAGATGCTATGAATTTTACTTTAATTAGGAGCAGTCTGTTTTTTGCGTAGGTTGACAAAATATTTTGATCAAATTATTGTAAATCTAGAGAAATGTGTCCTTTGACTTATCTGAAAGTTTTAACTAAAGTATCTTGCCATTAAAGAAGCATTCCGCTTTTTTTGTAAAAAGTTTTCAGTATCAAAAACGTCGTACATTATACCTGAAAATATTTCTGAAGTATGCTAATAACATCTATGTATCTATGTAGGGTTAATTCAAAACAGAGAGTACTAATTCTTAATTTAGCTTTCAAAAAGCATAACGTAATGTTTTTAAATATTTTTGGTGTTAAAAATTTAACTGTTGAACTTTTTTAGTTAAAACTTTCAGAAATGTTAAAGGGCACATTTCTCTAGATTTGGGTGTAAAGTTTTAATCTTAGACTTAAAAAACCAAACCAGTTTAAAGGTTACCGTAAATATTTTAACATCGCTTTGTCTTTTGGTGTTGGAGTTGAGTGGCTGCTTACTAATCAGAAGGTTCAGGGTCTCATTGATATAGAGCACTATGAAATAAAATGAAATGAAACTTTTCTGCACCATGTAGGCTAATGAAGATGGGCAACGCCATGCAGTGTACAATGAGGGAAATTTATCCTGGACTTTCGACAGTGGCATTAGCCGGCTCTTTTTCATTTTCCAACTGTCAAGGGATCTTTAATGTGCATAGCCTGTAGCACACAAGGCCTCTTTTTATTGTCCCATCCACATGACTAAACCCTATTTCCATGTCAGTCCCTCTTGCCTACATCACTGACAGGGGGAAAGCGGGTTGAAAAATCCGAAGGTATCATATAGAGCACTATGAGACCATACTTTTAGTAAGTGATGCATGTTGGAAGGGGGTATGTGAAAAAACCTCCAATGGTGAGATCCCCCAACTGTTAAAAATTAAGAAAGAGTAGACTTATAGAAGTTTACTTCATTGCACAATGCATGATATTACACATTCTCAGATGCAGAACTCAATTTCATTTAATATCAGACTGAGATGTCCATAAATTGACAAATAGAAGTTAATATAGTTATTATATGAGACATTAGGTATATCAAATAACTTCCGATATTTAAATAGCAATTGAGTTTATATTCTATCAAAACAGGATTAACCTTTGGAAGTTTATATTATATATTTCTGAATATCAAAATTCAGACTGATATTTCACAATCTTTTGTAGCAAAATTCTTGATGTTAGTCGGTTAGGGTATTTATCTGCAAATGTTTTGAATTTTGAAAAAAGTCACCATAATATGTGATAAAATAAAAAGTTTATACATGACTAAATAACGTTGATCTGATCCATGGTCACAATGGTCAAGGTATTACATTCTTTGTCTCCTATCTTGACTGCAAAAGCCACCTTTCTTGTATCACAGAAGATTGTAAATCCAGTGATTTAATTGGACTGTACCTTGTGAGTACAGCTAATTTAGAGCCCTGAACAGAAAGTCTGTAAATAATAAGCCACAATGTTAACAGTTTTTTTGTCGAGGCTGCGATTGGCTGTATTCACTAGTGTATTATTCAATCAAGTCACTACATTCTATGATACAATGAAGGTGGCTATTGTAACCTATATATAAGAGATTAGTGCTGGGTATTGTCAATCATGTCACGATATGATATGTATCGCAGAAAACACGTTTTAAAAATCTGCACTTTTTTAATGGAATAAAAGGTATCGCAAATTAAGGATACATGACATCGAGATACTATACGCGTATCGTGGCAGGTCACATCATGATACATTGATTCACTGATATATCGTTCTTGCACTTATAAGACACAGTTCATAATACCTGGACCATTGTGTAAATGGACACATGGTTAAACAGCCAAAATAATATGTAACCTCAAGCAGAAACATCAAATGTTTCAAGGGCAAAACTCTTATACTCTTTGTACAAGAATAAAATCACTTCACTTTGCTTTTTCTTTAATCTTAGACTGAGTAAAGCCCACAGGGTTTCAGATGAAAGCTGATTCTTACATTTTCAATCAGGCTGATTGCATTTGATTACATCTGAGAAAAGCTTGTCTAAATGGTGTCAACATTAGTGTTTTGAATTAAGGATGTTTGGTTTAAATAAGAACTTGACAATTTGTAGAATCTTCATTTGTATGAGCTCATTTGTTATTGGCAGTATCTTAACAAAGAGATTGTAAAGAGGTTTTCTAAATTTTTTATGCGTATTGGGGACACTGATAGCATTAATTTGCACCATTTCAAATTTCAATCAGATGTCTTTACTGCAATTTCACTAAAACTAAGTGTTTTATGATGTCATTCCGACAAAATTTTCTTGTATCACATAAGACCTTTGAAGGGGTGACGTAATAAAACGCTTAGTTTTAGTGGAATTGCTAGAACCACAGACGTCTGATTGAAAATTTAAATGATGCAAATTGATGCTATCATTGTTCCCGGTACATATACTAAATTTGGAAAACCTCTTTAAAATCCCTTTAATACAATACAATGTGACAAAGAATTCTTCTCTGGATTCAGGACCGCTCCTGAAAGTAGAAGTTGACAATTTGTAGACTCGACTTTCAAGTGCACATTTTATGATTTAAGATAATATGGGTTTTTGAATATGAACAGTTCTGGCAATAAACAATGACAAAGAATTCTACTTGAAAACCACGTTGTATGAATATCTTGTAAAACAAAGTTCATTTGAGACCATTATCATGTTAATGGATTTTGCAGCCTTAAATTTTTTTCTTTTTCAATCAAATATTGCCTCAGGTGTCACATAATCCTGCCTTCTTCAGTACTTGAAATGATATTAGCACCCTTTTTCTTTGTTAAACAAGCTTTGAATTAAGTTAAGATTTGAAAGTGCCAATCTCTGGTAAATTGCCTGCTGATTTTGTTGTCTATTATTGCGTTATTGATTTTTATTTTAAAGTCACCATCATGCCAGTCACTTCACACCAGTTTTATTGTCCTTCTATAAAAATAGGAAAGAATTATCTTAGATGATTGCATTATCCTGCAATATTGAAGATGGGCTGTAACACATTAGGTTAGAGTGTTGGAATGACATCATTTGCTTGGTTACTTCGATAAAATATAAAATTCGTGAAAGATCAATGCCAAGATTGAACTCAATTTTGTTATCTTTGCAAAAAAGATCGTTCCTTCTTTTCTTTTCCTATAGCTTGTTATCTGCTTGACAAATTTTGCTTTGTTTCTTCTGATTTAGAGTTCCTGTTGGTATCTATTTGCAGGATTCCAATCTGTTGGAATCTATTTGCAGGATTCCAATAACAGTAACACAAACAATCTATGAAGTCTTTTCTACCAGGATTCCAGTGTTCCGGAATGGATCAGTATGTTCAATAGCCATACTATTAATAATAATAATAATGAATTTTTCGACTGGAATGACCAGGATTTATTTTGATGAAACAATTAACTTATTTTATCTGTGTAAGTTTTATAATTTGTAAATATAAAGCCGATTGATATTTGATCCTGTTATTTCAAAACCTTAATCTACTCATCAGTTTACTCCCACATATTGATCTTTAAGATTAGTACTTACTATTGAATGTTAATAACAAGTGGTTGCCTAGCCAGATACGCCCACTTTCCTGATACATTTTCAGTATATCAAGGGTGGTCACTTACCTTTGTCTAATCATACCAAAAATTTAATTTGTGCTAGATGAAAACTGTAGTCTCTGTTGTGTTCACAAACAAATTTTGATGAGT